ATAGACATAGGATGCTAATTGCCCTAGAGAACCATTGGATTGGTAACTACAATTGACAAAGAACTACTCCCACCTCAATCTGACACGGTTGACATGTCTTCAAATCCGGGATGACTGACAAATGCTCCATAAAAAAGAAAAATCATCATCTAGACCGTCTCTTTTGGACTCAACGCCCTTGACGAGAAAGTTACATTTTCCTTTTCGACTCATGTCCATGCTCGAATTGTACTCAATGGGCTTGGGCAATGTTTAGATTGGAATAATAAGCTGCACCAACTCCCCCAAGAAAGTGCGTGTGTGAGGCACATGAATGAGGGGAGAGTTTGGGAAGCTGTCGGCAGTCGGCACCACCCCCCATTTCTTCACCCTATAATTTATAACACTATACTACGTACTATTCCCCCACAGTTTCAAACCAACCAAGTTATTCCAATTTCAGAGGAGAAAAAAATACGAATTCAAAGTAGAGAAAGAGAAGAGAAATAGTAGTAGTAGTAGTAGTAGAAGAAGATGCCAATTGTATTGGTGTGATTCCAAGTGCCAGTCTCAGTCGGGGGGCTTCTTCGTCGTATATTAATAGTAATATCGACATCACCCTCGAACCGCTGACCTTCCTGCCTTAACGAGGCAGAAGACGATTATAATAAGTAATGACAAATATTATAATAATCAAACCCCATGAAATGAAAGGAAAGGAAAGAAAGAAATTGGAAAGTCAAATGATCCAATTAAAGGCAACTATATATGAGCCCCGCGAAGAAGATAAAAGAAATGTGGAAAGTCAAAAGGGCTCCATCTCCATAGCTTGAAGGGAAGAAAAGTATTCTTATTAATTATTATTATTAGCTAATAATTAATGGTATAGTGCCCAATCCCTTGCATGGCGGAGCAGTGGTAATTGCTAGGCTGCTCTTATTCCTTCCCCCAAGTGAAACGCTCCCCTCCCCATTTCTTTAATTCTCATTTATTGCCTTTTCCCTACTTTGGAAAGAGTATTATTCTTTTTATGATTAATTGATAATTATATGTATATGTCATTAAGGGACACCTTGGGACATGGTAACGGTCTTCATCTTTCATTTCGTTTCCAAATATGCCAATATATTAATGGTCATAATTACAAATGTTAATTACTATTATCATTACTATTATAATGATTATGAATGTAAAAGTAACGGGAGCTATTGAGTTTTGAAAGTAACAGAAGCTATTGTTTTATAAAGGCTATTTAAGTCTATAATCCATGTTATTATAGGTCCACGATCTTTGGAGCAATATTATTACAAATTTATACAAAGAAAGGGAAGAGAATCATAACATAGGCAAATGGATCCTCAAGGTTAGAAGTTTTTGTAGATTATAGGATGAATTTGTACTTCTGTAGTAGTAGTATACTAGTTTTGTGCCCGCCCGATGGGCGGCGAGTGTTATTTGTTTGTACTTTTCCTTCTATTATTTGTTATTTTTTCCAATGATATCAGATTCCTAATTTTCATAATTATTTATTATTGTTACCTATTATCACTGACTTATCTGATATGATGGTCGCTACATTTACTCTATGTTTTAATGATGATCAACAATAAAGTCAAACAACGCTGTTACTTCATCACCGCTTGGACCAACAATTGTCAACTTCATAAGTTGTACATGGTTTAAACTCGTGTACGCCACCTTACCGAACTCCTATAGAGTTGGTATTTAGACCATGTATTAACGAAGTTTGGCACATGATGCTATACCATATTCTCTAATAGGTGAACTCTCTAGTTCTCTAATCCAAATCGTACGATTCATTTAATGAAAAATAATAACCACCGATTCTTATTTGTCAAAATATATTAACATACAAATAATAGATATGCATGAAGGTGATATTACACCTCGAGTGTACGCTAGCCTTTTCCACCATTATATCAAAGTACAACAAAACTATTCTGCTATGCTTCTCACCTTCAACATTGTACGAATGATATCAAAGCAAATGTTAGCTATTGAGACACTTTGTCTTCACTTCACATTATCATCCAATATTAAATATGTGACTGACTGTAACTGGAATTGTGTGACTTAATACAAACATAAATGCGCTATGTTGTGCAGTCAGTATAGTAACTAAATATACAGGACATCGTCATGATATGATCCTGCGTTGATTTTATAGGACACCGGTCCGGGTACATCCCACCCTGTTATACATGACATCGGTTACGGCAGTGGATTTATAGGACACCAGTCTAGGTACGATATGTGGTGGTATGCATGACATCTACTATACTACCCGAGGAATGTATGACTTGGCAAATTAAGATGTAAAATGCAATGAACCTAACCATGCATGTGATTGAATCCTTGTATAAATATTACTTATGATGTGGTTAAGTGATGACTTTCTATGATGTGATATATGAAATGTGCATGTCGATGATGATGGTTTTCTATGGTGTTTTATACAATGATTTAAGATTAGATGATATGATGTTTTGTTATGTTGGGACATGGGTTACATGGTAATGCCAGTATGATGTGATATTTGATTCATACATGTTTAAACATTGAGTTATCAAGAGGCTGGGTGATGGTCCTTATGTTGTGATGTATGAATTCTTTGAGTTTGAGATGATGAATGTGATATGGCATGTGGTGATGAATGGATGTTTATTTGACTGAATAAGATATAACATATCGCATGTATCTTGACAGTTAAGTTAAGGCAGAAGGCCTGAGAGGTGGGTGACGGAAAACTGAATACTCCATGTTCTGCCATGGTCAATAGGAGGGACAATAAGTCATTTTGAACTATACTCTTAAAGGTAAAGGAGAAGATATATATCATTATCTTATGAGTAAGGCTGTCCGGCGAGTATAACTGGTTACTAAAAACAGTAATAGTAATATATGTATTAGGGTGTCATATTAAATAAGTATTAAAATAGTTATTTACATATCAACCATCATATATCCAATTGTTTAAGATTCGTTTACAAATCTTGCTTAACTTAGGTGTTATTCATCTGAATATGACTCAACGTTGCACATCTACACTCATGTATGAAAAAGAAAGGAATTTATGTCAAACAATAAAAAGATAAAAGAAAGAAATTATAATTACATTAGGAAAAAAGTAAAGACAATGTGTTTTATAATTGTGCATGGAAGAATATTTAATGACGTATGGAAAATGAAAAGAGATAGAAGTTGGAATAACATAAAAGAAAAGATAATGATATTATTTTAATATGCGAGAAATGCCAAATTCAATTCTAAAAATGACAAATGCATTATGTATATGTACATTACTTTTTTTTAACTTCTTTCACCAATTGGTCACAAACATATTTAAACCATATAACCATAATTCAGTTTTGAAAAATATACAAAAAAACATTTGGTGACCATTGGTGTCTAGTGATATTCTTAAACATATGAAATTTTGTGTATATATCAATGTATCATATGACTAAACTATGTTGATATATTTCATATATTTATAGTAAGTATTTTCTAACAAACTGCAACATATCTCCATTGGTTCACATATTTATAGTAGTCCGTACAAATAAAATGTTAAATTCTTTGTGTTCTAGAATGCGGAAGAAGGTTATTCTTTACTTTTCATTTTTCAATTTTAAAAGAAAATAAAATGTCAAATGATGTAAAAGTTTATAATTGTGTACCAACTAAATTTATGCTTTTAGGATTTTTTTGATTATTTGAAAGAAATTATAAACAATTATGAAACATATTATAAACTAAAAATAATTTATTTGTAGATGTTAATGATTTTCTTATCAATGCTAAAAAATATTATATAAAATTTTAAAAGTGATAGCTATTTTATTGGTTAAAAAATAGTTGTGATTAATTGCATGAAAGATTATTTATTCTATTGGTTAAAAATTTGAAATTATTACAGTTTGAGCTTGTAGGTTGCATGATTAAATCTTAGTTATGGTAATTGATATACATGTTTTGTTGTGGTAAGTAGCATCAAATATACTTTATCCTAGTGGTTGAACATTTGAAATGATGATAGTTTGACCTCGTTGGTCACAGGTTCAAATCTTCGTCATGATGATTGATTTACATGTTTATTTAGTTTTATTATTTTAATGTAACTAATAAATTAAAATGTTAAAAATGACAAAATGACATGAAAAATTGTGGAGATTTCATTGTCCTACGTGGCAAAAATTTGCTCCACAACGGCCATAGTATAAGTTAAGATAGTTGAGTCCAAATATATATACAGTTCTAATAAGTCTAGAAAAAGAACAAAAATAAGCATTACAATCTTATTAATGTTATAACAAAAGCATAACCTCATCCTCTATTATCACATTCTACAGTTCGTTCTGCATAAAGATGATCGAGATCAAATTTGGACAGGAAATCCATCAAAATTAATCGAAACGATGATCGAAATTCGGAAAGGAAATCCATCAAAATTAATCGAAACGATGATCGAAATTCGGAACACAAATGCTTTTATCATCTCATTGCAGATACAACTTATCAAATTTCTTATGATTGTACGGTTAACAAAAATTTAACATTTTTAATGCATTTTACAGCATTTTTATTTAAAAAAAATAAAAAAAATAATATTTCAATTTAACAATGCTCCATAATTAATTTGATTATTACTATATTATTCTATTCATCCGCAGACTATGGCTTATCTTTTCTGTCCATATTTCCCGTGTGTTGACTTCCAATATATTATAATCCCGGCCAGCCACCTCCACCTCCCTTCTCCAGTTCTCCTACGTATATATAAAAAGAAAACTCCACCCCGAATCTCAGAACTCCAGCGGACCCCAGCTACCATTTTCCCAGCAACCAAACAGCTAATAGAGCTAGCTCCTTCCAATATTCATTCATTCGTCCATCCATTTCCTCGCATTCCTTCAGCAAACTGCAAAAGTAACATGGAATCCCCGCCGTCCGACGACGCCGTCCCCTGCCATTTCCTCTGCCCGATCTCCCTCCAGCTCATGACCGACCCCGTCACCGTCGCCACCGGCATCACCTACGACCGCCACCACATCCACCACTGGCTCTTCTCCCGCAACCGCGACACCTGCCCCGTCACCAACCAGACCCTCGCCGTTAAAGACCTCACCCCCAACCTCACCCTCCGCCGCCTCATCCACTCCTGGTCCACCACCACCAATTACCATATTGCCCCCGAATACATTTACAACAAATCCCACATTTCCCGGCTCCTCGCCGCCGCCGTGGCAGGCGGCACCACCACCACCTCCCCCACGCAGCAGCTGATCGACTCCCTCTCCCGGCTCCGCTCCATGGCTGCCGAAAGCGAGCCGAGCCGGATCCACCTCCAAGCCGGATCCACAGCCCGCTTCCTCGCTTCCGTCGTCATTGCTAACAGTTTCCTAGAGGTCGGTGTAGAGGCAGATCACATGCGCAGCAGAGCGGTGGACGAGTCGCTCGCGATTCTCCACCACATCGGACTCGCCGATTCCGATCTCAAGAAACTCGGCACCGAGTTCGTCGACTCGCTGGTCCGAGTCATAACAAATTTGAAATTCAAACGGGACCACCACCAATCGCGCGCCTACGCGACGATCCTCCTCAGATCCGCTTTCCGCGCGGCCGACCCGATCCAATCGGTCAACGCGAGATCCGAAATTTTCGCCGCGGTGGTCGGCGTTCTGAAAGACCGGATCTCGGAGAGCGCGACGAAGGCGGCGTTGAAGTTTTTAATCGAGGTTTCCCCCTGGGGGAGGAACCGGATCAAGGCGGTGGAGGGCGGGACGGTGGCGGCGCTGATCGAGCTCCTGCTGGAATCGGATCACTGCTCGTCGGCGGCGAGGAGGGCGACGGAGCTGGCGATGAGGGGCGTGGAGGTGATGTGCGGGTGCGCAGAGGGGAGGGCGGAGGTGGTGGGGCACGCGGCGGGGCTGGCGGTGGTGTCGAAGAAGATGCTGCGGGTGTCGCACGCGGCGACGGACGGGGCGGTGAGGATCGTGGCGGCGGTGAGCAGGTACTCGGCGACGAAGGGAGTGGTGGCGGAGATGGCGGAGGTCGGGGTGGTGGCGAAGCTGTGCTTGTTGCTGCAGGTGGATGTGAGCTGGAAGAGTAAAGAGAAGGCGAGGGAAGTGTTGAGGGCGCATTCGAGAGCGTGGCGGAACTCACCCTGCATCCCGCCGCACCTGATTTCTTCCTTTCCTTGATTAAATCAATAAATTAGTAATTAACCTCTAATTATCACTAATTTGTCCCCATTTTCACTGTTTTATTCATTTTTTTCACATCCAATTTTTGCGATGGTTGTGTATATTATGATGACAAGCCGGAGATTGTGACCATAGAGAAGTTACGTTATTGACAGAAGATTTAGTTTCTAATGGAGAGAATTGCAATATACTGTTTATCGTTACTATATCAACGTTACGATGATTACTATCTAAATAAAAATGAAATTGGGTTATAAAGCTTTCACATTCATTAAAATTTGAACACTGATTCACTGAGTTCTCTATTGTCGAGTTATCGTTGGACTACAAATTCGTTGTTGTTATTGTGGTATAGTTCCAGTATATCGTGAGTGACTTTCGTCAAGAATGATGCAAGCTGTGATTTCTCTTGTCGATGTGTAGATCAGAGAGTCAAACAAAGAAGCTCCGATTTATTAACACAGCATGCTTATTAATTAAGCTTACTTGCATATATCTCTGACCATTCAAAAATTTGGTCAACACCATTCGATAACGTTATTGTTGTCCCTATATATATGTTGTTTCATTGGATTCGTTTTAGGAAACGAGGTGAAATTTGAGAGAACTTCTCCAAAAGTTGTGTAGCCATCGTTTCTGCCAGATGAAAGGGAGTTTTTAACTTGGAGCCTCTTGTCCTCTTCATGGGGGGAAAAGAGGGTTTCCAGGAATATTGGAAGTCGCAATCCTTATCGATTAGGGTTTTCTCAATTTTTTACCATTCTCTGGTTTAAGTGGGAGTAGTAGTATATTATGTATTATCATCGACCGACAACTGGAGAGTGGAAATTACAAATGATACACAAGGACAAAATCATCGACAAAACCCTAGACCAACCTAGTAAGAAAAAAAAAGCATGAAGTCAACAAGACTTCCTCTAATAGTTGTTAGTAGGGTTGCGAGTAAACTAATCCTATAAGAATATAAGTTAAATTCAGATAAAATTTAACTTCGTACTATATTAATTAAAAATAAACTCATCATCTCATTGACTAAAAATTATTGATAAATATTAATATATATCTGTCCCTTAAGGGAAAGATGGAAACAGTATGGTGGATCCAGTTGGCAATCTAAGCATCATTGATTTCTTGTTTATATATATCATACAATAGTTACCAAAAAATTGTGTGTCATACATGTGCACTTGTGCAGTATAATTAAATTAATCAATCCCTATATTTAAATGGAGAAACAAATATTATTATGTAATAGGGACCTCCTACAGTACCTTGTGTTTTTTGTAAGTTAGGTAACTTATTTTTTTCTTGCACAAATCTGGGCCATTAAAATTGAAAATAGAACATTACAGCCATTGATGAGAATTAAAAAAAAAAAACACGCTGATGGGGAAACCGGCTGTACCGGTTACGGCTGGCCGCCGAAAATCTCGCCTGAGAATGCAACCGTACCGTGTTCCCATGCCAATTAGGAGTCGGTGAATTTTGTTTATCCTAAAATTAGGTTTTCCAATCCAATAGTGCTTAATCCGCCGGGATCCCTTGTCTGCCGCCGCAACCACAGCCTCCCCCTTATACGACGACACCCGGCACCCCACAGGACTGATCGGAACCGTCGGTGCAGACAGGTACACGACCTCTGCCGGATCATCTCCGGCGCCACGGAAGCCAAGATCGTATCGACGGTACGGTACCATAAATCGCATACTTCTCCAGAACCTTCTTCTCCGATTTCAGTTCTGATCTTCGATCTCAATCAAGTGTCCGATTTCAGTTCTGATTTTCGTCCTCCATTGAATCGACGTTCGCCTCACACTTCTTCTCGCTGCGGCTGGAGAACCCGTGGTGTCGGTTTCTACAGGGCGCCTTCAATATCGCCGGGCGTCTTCAATCTCGCCGGTGGAGGGCGATTTTAGTCGATTGAGAGGGAGAACGGATTGGATTTCTGTTTCTCACTTCCATTTTTCAGATGAACAGTCGAAATCGAGAGAGGGAAGGAGAGGCTGAGCGGCGCCGATTTTCACAATAGGTTAGGGTTTTCGTTCCACTTTCTCCTCCTTCTGTCACTCGATCTGTCTTCCTCCCCAAACCACAAACCTTTCCTCCGCACAGAAGAAGAAGAAGAAGAGGTCGGTATCCTCAATCTCAGCTTCAATTCCCTGTTTTTTGCAGACAGCCATGGTTCCAAATTTTATGCAGAAACCAAACCATCTCCCAATTCAATCCAATCCAATCCAGCCAGCTCTGTTTTTTGTTTCTCTGGCTTCGCTTTTTCCAGCACACCCACACTCCACCTGTTCTTCCCCCCTAACTACTACGACCCTTTCCCTTTGTTTAATTGTTTGATCATTTCATTAGTTTCTTCGTCGCTTTATTGTTATTGGTTTTCGAAAATGAATTCCAGAGCAGGATGTGAGATGACAGCTGTTTAATTCTCTTGTGTCATGGGCTGCTTATTTTTATTATTTTATTTTTGTTTGGGGATCTCGGTTGAGATCGAGTTGAGAAAGGGTCAGCTGGTAGCTTTGCTTTTATTGTAAAAAGAAATGGTAATAGCTTTGATTTGTTTTTTAATAAGCAATTGGTAGCTTTCATGTGCCTGCGTGTGTCCTCTGAAACAATTGGTAGCTTTGCTTCCCTTATTCATTTTGAAGGCAACCCAATTTTTTGGGGCTCTAACTCATTGTCGTACATGTTTGATTCAAGTTGTAACTGTAGTTTCTGCTTGTCCACTTTAAAGATGAGCAAGGTCGATGAAGGTGTCTCCTCCGAACTCAATGATGAAAACCAACAAAGAAAAGAAAAGGTAATTCATTACATCTATTACCGGTCTCTTTGAGATTACTGTATGTGGTTAAGATTTTGATGTTGGTAAAAATTATCTTAATGAAAACATTATAATGTAGGTGTATTTGAGCAGTCGTTGTGGCGTACAAGAATTCTCTGGCCTTATAGATAGTTTGTCCGACGACAAAAAGCATGTCATTGAAGATATGGGATTTGGAGGGCTATTGCATTTGAAGAAGCATAAGTTGAAGTTGAAACTTTGTGAGGAACTTATGATGAGGTTTGATGTGACTACTAGTCAACTAAACGTGCATGGTAATCGTTTGACCCTACGTGTTGATGATGTTGTCACCATATTGGGTTTGCATGGTGGAGGCATGAATGTGGATACTCATCTTGGTGAGGGAGATGAAGTGAGGGTCAGGTTTAATTTGGGTTATGGACAAATTAAATGTTCAAATCTAAAAACAGATATGATGAAAGATCTCACGGTCGGTGATGAATTTAGAGGGAAATTTCTTTTATATTCAATGAGTAGACTTTTGAGACCGTCTACTGCAGTTTATGTTCCCAATAATTATTTGAGGATATTAGGCAATATTGATGACGTGGGAAACTTGAATTGGGCAAAATTTGTGTACGATGGTCTTTTAGAAGGAATAAAAGACTATCAAAACAAATTGGAAGGCACATCAAGAGAACAATCTGTGACGGGCTGCATTTTATTGCTTGAGGTACGTTAGTAGTAACTTTTTTCTTATAAGTTTTAGTCCAAATAAGAAGAGTTTGCATTGTCAGAATTTAAAATTTAATGTGATTATCTTATGTTTATAGATTTTTTACCTAGAGCACGTAAATATGCATAATGTGACTCGTCATTCAAGCTCCTTACCACGCATACGCCACTGGGATGACAAGTCAATTGGGACGATTGTTAAGAAGGTTTCTAGTTTGGGTGGAGTTGATAGCATACAGGTGAAACCTAGGTTTTCTCCTGATGTTTTAAATAATATATATGTAGCGATTGAAATATTTACTGCAATTTCTTTGTATGCAGGTGGAATTTGGAAGGGATGGTGCTAGTTGCTTCACAATTGAGGTTGGAGTAATAATTTTCTATGTTATAGTGTTTCATGGATTAAATTGATGAAAACGAAGCATTTTATTTATCTTATTTTGTGAAAATTTCATTCAATAGTTATTTACATGTCAATTCGTATTAATTGTGTAATATTTTTTTAAAAAAATTTAACATTTGTTATTATATTTCTATTTGAAACAGGATGTTACAGCACAGATAGTTCAATTGAGGAATGAATTTCAACAAGAAATGCACTCTACAAAATCACAAATAGGTGACTTGAAGAAAGAAATGTCTGATTCTATGTCACAAATCATTACAAAATTGTCCAGCATTGAAAGCCACTTGGAAGCCAAAGCTGCAAATAAAACCATAGAGGATGAGGCGGTGCAGGTTCGTACAAAAAAAGGCGAGTTGAATGATGATGCTATTGCACATGAGAAGACATGCGAGGGAGTTAGAACGGGTGCAGATCACACGATCAGTGAAGAGAATATGACTACAAATGAAGATTCAACTAATGTGTATGATAAATTGGATAACATGGCTCGTGATTTCAAGGCAAAAGAAGATTTTGTGGAGCTTTCTGATGATGCAAGCTCACTTCTAAAAGCATCAACGCCTAAGGGAAACCACCTGGTAAAGTTTTAGTAGTTTAGCATTCGAGTCTACAAATTCTGTTTACTTGACTTTTGTTCATATGGTAATCTAATTGGTTTTATTGGTTTTAGGAAAAGCAAGGAAATAGGAGATCTGGTGCAATTTCATCTCAAAATGAAAAGAAAAGAAAGGCAAATCAACATGTAAGTGTATGCGTGTTCATTCCATATGTATTCTCTAATTATTAGTGCTTGTGATTAGGTGATGGATAACATTATTGTTTTGTGGAGATTAATATGACCAGCTTCTATAGTTATTTTAATTTCTTGTGGTAATCTTGTTTTCAATTGTGGTAGGAGGAAGATGAAACAGATTCATTTGAGGCACTTATGGCTGGAGTAGATCAAAAGATTCGATCAAGAGAGGATTCAAACATGGGACTTCGAAAGAAAGAAGTACTCAAAGCCGGTCCACAATTTCAGTTTCCTTATGTGGCCGACAAACCAGCGGTAAGAGCTTTGGAGTTTGCGTGACGGAGAACATGTTCAATCAGGAGTAAGTGCTATAGTATATCATATATAAAAATGAAGGGTATTTTTTAGGAAATTTCTAATGATTAATTATGTAGGTAATTAATCTTGTTGTTGCTGGGTTAACACTGGAATATCGGGACAATAAAGAAAGCGATTATTGGTTCATGCCCTGGTCATTTACCGTGAGTCTCTGCACGCTTGAAATTATATATGTTTTCGTTTATTTATACTTTATTTCTGAAGTCTTCTATTGTTCATCTAGAATAGCATTTTAATGTGGCGTGAACGTCGAACTACTGAGCAGCTAATTCAAAGATACAAACGTCACTATATGGGAGACATAGCAACTTGTAAGCAGGTTAGAGAATCGTCCTTTAGAGATACTCTTTCATTCGCGTTTTGTACTTGGCCATTGTTAACATATGTTTTTTGATCACTTTTAGATTTATCTCCCCATATGCGAGCATGAACATTGGTACTTGGCCATTGTTAACATGGAAATCAAGGAGGTATATTTGCTTGATAGTTATGCTCTAAAGGACGATTCTCCCCGTACAGAAAAGATAAGGCAGATAGTAAGTTTAACAACATACTTGTGTTTCCAAGTTAGCAAAATAGTCATATTCTATTTATTTTTAATTTTTGTGCTTTTTTATATATCTTCTTTTTTTAGTTGTCAGTTTTGGATGAAATGTTGCATCATGATAATTTCGAAGCAAAAAGTGAAGAAACCATACCATTATTGAAAACGTTTGAAGTGAAGTCAATTCCTGTCTTACAACAACCCAACACGTAAGTGGTTATTTTGACTCGAATTTATGTTTGAAATATTATATTTTTCTTCCTTGCATTCTAACACGGTCTTTTCTAATATACAGTACTGATTGTGGAGTACATGTAATTCAGTATATGAGACATTCTCCCAAAAAATTTAGCCACATCGTAAGTATCATTATGTTTGAAAAATGTTATGTGCCATCTAATTTTAGGCATTAATTGCTACCTCTTTTTATGTTCTTATGTAGATCTCGCACATGCATGGTTTGGCTGCTCGAAAGGAAATAGTTTCATGGCTATTAGTGCATAAACAAAATAAAAAGAGTGAAGATAACGTCTGGGGTGCTATGGGTATTGTTCGTCAAGATCCGGTTTACATACAAGAAAACAGAGAGGCAATGCGTGAAATAAAAGCTTTGGATAAAAAATCTGAAGCGATGCTGAGGAGTGCAAAATCTTTGATGATGTCACGTCGGATGTGAAACCATAATCCCGTTGAGGACTGCAAAATCTTTACTGATGATGTTAGGTGTATACTAAAAAGGATGCAGAGGAAAGCTTAATTAAGCTACTCTTTATTTTAGTTGATTTTGGGTGCAGTAGGTTGATAGTTTGGGCGTTTGGAATCTTTATTTTCAGCAAGATATATTGTTGGGTAAGGCCATCTTCTCTTGAAGATCCTATCGAGTGTGCCATGCTGCTTTGTCATCTCTCTCTGTGCTTACCATCCAGAAAAGAATATTGTATTGCGGAAATTGGGTCTTCCTTTCTTCCAATAAGTTCGATTGAATTTGAGGATTTAAATATTCCAAGTCTTTCATAAGAAAGTCTGCTTCATTTCCATATGCGACCAACAAAACATGAAAGCAGCAGCATTCTTTACATGTAAAAGATGTCTTATGTTATGGAGACGAGATTAACTTTGGGAAGAGATGTTGGGCTTGAACTCTTGATTCGCTTGTGGTACATAAATGCTCCCACTGCTTATTCTTTCTCTAATGTTGAACAGGAGGCTCTTATGAATGCAATGAACGATGAACTTCCTAGAATTCAAGAACAAGTATATTACTCTCGGATTACTCTGCCAAGAAAATAAGACGAGGATTACTCTAATGTTGAACAGGATTACTCTGCCAAGAAAATAAGACGAGGAAACTTAGTATTATACACTCTCCTAGACAATCAAAGATCAGAAAGAACTTGTACATACCTCTCGGGCATCTAGTTTTATTGTGATCAGGCTGGCGACATTTAGAGCATTTTCTAGGCTTCTTCGAATTCGGGGCAACACAGGCTGTCCCTTTTGTCTTCACTATGTCTGGATCTCTCACATCCCCATATTTTCTTTTCACAGGGGGAGGCATGCTTTCATTCATGAGTTTTTCAATGCCACTCGACAATCGCGTAAGCTCTGTTGATGCTTTATCGAAGCACACTCCTGATTGCGAAGCCATTTGAAAAATTTTGTAAGACTTTGCAACTAATGCCCCACGCCGCATAGTTTCGACAAGCTTATTGTCTAACAAACTTGGACCTGCATCCGTTGAACCTAGACCTTTCGCCTTCTTTGTCCACCGCAATTTGAAGCATGACTGAGGAATCGCATGCATTCCTCTTAATTTAATAACATTCAGAATATGCCGACATGGTATACCCATTGACTCAAACAGTGAACAGGAGCATATAACCTTGTCTTCTTTGGTATCATACTCCACAATTCTTACCCGGGAAGACTTTGACCATTGATGGAGCTTGAAAATCTCAAATTCTCCTTCCTTCCTCATAGGCTCGGATAATAGATAGCTAGTCTCGCCATTAAGTTCCTCCTTGAAAAGTTCAAACATAGTTGGAGTATACAACTCTTCAGCTTGCTTCTCATAGCCACGTAGGACATGAGAGCACACTGACTTTGAATTGAAGGCTCTGAAATCATCCTTCGACTCATTAAATCGTAACTTATCAACCATTCTTTCATATCTTTTCACAAATTCAAATAATGTCAACTTCTTGTCCACATACTTGTTAATGGTGCTATTCATTCCCTCACAACGAGATGTAGTTGCCATGCCTCCAAAGAACTTTCCTTTCAAATAAGCTTCACACCACATATGACGATCTGCATATAAACCTTTCACCCAGGGATGCTGGTCCAACTTTGTTTCTGTAACTAAATGCTGCCAGCTTTCTTCAAATTCCTCAACTGAAATTCTGCTCTTCATGAACTTATTAAGTCCTTGCAAAAACATCAAACCCAGCCTCAATTCCCCTGCATTACGATCTATGTGCCAAGAACAAAGACGATGAGCAGCTTTAGGAAGCACTTGAGATATGGCTTGGCGCATCGCTTTATCTCCATCAGTGATGACCGACAATGGCTTTTTACCTCCCATGCACTTCACAAATGTATCCAACAACCATATGTAACTCTCACTCTTCTCATCTTTCAAAAATGCACATCCGAACATCACCGTCTGATGATGATGGTTTACTCCTATGAGCATGACTAATGGATTGTTATATTTTTGCCTCCGGTAGCAAGCATCAAATGCTAAAACATCTCCAAACAATGCATAGTCAGATCTAGAAGTCGAATCTGCCCAAAACAAGTTACCAAGTTTATTACCCTCTTTCAACGTATAGTCGAAACTAAAGCTTGAATCTGCTTGTACCCTTCCCTCGAAGTATCCGATGGTAGTATTTGCATCACCACCTTTAATCTTGTTCATTCGAATGGCTTGGACTTTATTCTCTACATCTTTCGGAATGAAACCCATATTCTGATAGCCTCCATGTTGTTCCTTGCAAATCTCAGTAATATGCCGTGTACTTACTCCAACTGTACTCAACGACTCAATCAAAGCTTCATCACCTTCTTTGATTTCACGATGGGAACGCAGAAGATGTACATACTTGGATGGCACCAACTTATGATTGTGAGCCGATACAAGTGACTTGACAACCCATTTTTCAGTGTCGCGATCCAGATTTACACGAATCATCGCTTCACAACCTCCCCTAGTCAATCGTCGAGGCTTGCGTATACGAGCAGCATAGTTTATCCATTTTTTTTGACGATAACCCTCCTTTGAGCACACCCATTTCTGCATTAGCATTTGTCCACTACGTGACTGTCGCGAATCTCGTTTGCGAATGCTAAAACCAATTTGTTTTGCATAAGCATTGTAAAACAATTCAGCTCCTTCCAAGGTATCAAAAACCATGCCTAATATTGCTTCATCAGAAGGCATAGAGACAGCGGCCTTCGTACCTTCGTCGGTTTCTAGAGGATTCTCAACATCCGCTTTCTCTGATTCTGCCATCGGAGAGGTAGAGGGGAACCCAACGCAGTTGAGCTGAAGGAGAGGGTGGAGGCACGGACGATTAAGAATCGAACGATTGGAGCAGGGGCAGGCCGCGTCTTGTGGAGGAACGGACGTCTCCGCTAAATCGAACGACTGGAGCAGGGCAGGCCGAGTCTAGTGGAGTTACGGGCGACTTCAATATCGCCGGGCGTCTTCAATCTCGCCGGTGGAGGGCGATTTTAGTCGATTGAGAGGGAGAACGGATTGGATTTTCTGTTTCTCACTTCCATTTTTCAGATGAACAGTCGAAATCGAGAGAGGGAAGGAGAGGCTGAGCGGCGCCGATTTTCACAATAGGTTAGGGTTTTCGTTTAGTCTGTAAGAGAGGTTTTTATATCCCGTACCCATTTTACTAAAATGCCCGTTTGATCTCTGCAAGAAAATAAAAAAAAAATGTCTCTAGGCTTACTCGAACCCGAGACCTAAGCCCACGAACACTTATCAAAGCACCAAACCACTAGGACTACGAAATTTTCTTGAAACTTTATCTCTTTCGATACTAATTACTTTATGGTAATCTTAATACGCAAAATTTATATCGACCAATCGTGTCAATACTTTTGCATTGGCTAAGTTACGATTACTTCTCGGTATCTCAATTTTAAAGCTTTGATTAAATTTGGCTTTAATTTTACATACACATATTCATTTTACTTAGAGATTTTCCTAATATTTAATCATGGTCAATAGGCAATGACGGTCATTCTCGATGAATTTCTTGCAAAGACAATCTAACATTCAATCGCTAAATTGAAAATTCATAAATACATTTCCTAAAAACTCAAATTATCTTTATCACAATCAATATAACGTGTTTAGGATCATTCATTAAAATCTCTCAATTTTAATCGAACTACGTGGACTTTGATCCCGATTACTCGGGTACGTAGGCAACTAATACGTTCGAGTCCAACTAACACAAAACTCTTTCTTTAATTTTGAGAATTATGTCAATAGACGTATGATCAACTCATAAAAATAAATACCTAACTATTCGAATCATATAATTAAATACACAAATACGGTGCAAATTATAATACACCTAACCTTAAAAAGCTTATCGATTTAAGTAGTACCCATTTGGGGTGTCGTGGGGTGTGAATACACTTCCCCACACGTAACCGTACTCCCGAACCTAGAGAGATCTAAATTTCGCAGACCAAATCCCGGTTCTGACCCTAAGGTTGGAACCAGACCAAAATAGTGTTCGACCCAAATATGGTCGATGGCGACTCTGAGCGTGACGCGATGGATCCCCCAATTTGGGAGGTACGGTTGGAACAACTTCCAGTCGACGACAGAAAATCATATTTCAATACATAACAACAAAGTTAAATAGAAAAAGGGTGTCATACTATATCCCATATAAAATTTTCACTAAAAATATACATTTCATAATATTGAATTAAGAAACGACAGAGAAATTAAATTGATTCATTGCAGTGGTTTCTTGTAATATGACTAACTAAAAAGTCGATTAATTAGTGAAACATAACCAATCACTCAAATTCAAAACACATTATGAACTGGCTATTACATAATGTTTCTATAATGTCCTTTTAAGCAGGGCTGGCTATTTAATCTGGGCTTTTTGGTTTTACCCGAAACTGGACCATATAACCGGGACCGGACCAGACCCGGATAGCAAACAATCTAATCCCATTTTTGGACTTAGATTTGAGAAAAAAACCCCGTTTGGGATCGGATTGAAAACCGGATAAGAGAACCCAACACCCAAAACTTAACCAACTCCTTACCCTTTGAGGCCTTAGGCCACTCAAATCTCCACAAGGTCAATCTAAAATCAAGACCGAACTGGAGCCAGACCGGGTCAAGACCGGACTATATCCAATGGATCGGACTGGATTAATTCTAACCAATTTAATCGGCCCGGAACATATAGCCACCCGTACTTTTAATTACCTAATATTTGCAAAAAAAAAAAATTATATCAATATGAAATTGAGTAAAATATGCTTCAGTTGGGAATTGAACCATGCCCAATTCATAATTATATAGCAACTCATCCGCTAGCCTATATTAATAGATTGATGCTATACTGCACGCACTATTTTATACCTCTAGTTATTTTATACTCATTTCAGAAGCCTCAATAATTTATACTATTTTTTCAGCAATGCTAATATTCATTACATAATAGAAGTCTCAATTACGTAAGGTTTCCGTAATGACATTTTAGAACAGTTACGTAAAATACACATCCATTACGTAAGGCTTCCGTAAGACAGTTGTTTCTTACGTAACAGTTAAATCAGAAGCGTTACGGAAGCCTTCCGTAATACCTTCACACTTTACGTAATGCAATGCTAATATTCATTACGTAAAAGAAGTCTCAATTACGTAAAGCTTCCGTAATGAAATTTTAGAACTGTTACGTAAAATACAAATCCATTACGTAAGGCTTCCGTAATGACAGTTGTTTCTTACGTAACAGTTAAATCAGAACTGTTACGGAAGGCTTCCGTAATACCTTCACACTTTACGTAACGCAAGGTTAATATTCATTACGTAAAAGAAGCCTCAATTACGTAAGGCTTCCGTAATGACATTTTAGAACTGTTACGTAAAATACACATCCATTACGTAAGGCTTCCGTAATGACAGTTGTTTCTTACGTAACAGTTAAATCAGAAGCGTTACGGAAGGCTTCCGTAATACCTTCACACTTTACGTAACGCAAGATTAATATTCATTACGTAAAAGAAGCCTCAGTTACGTAAGGCTTCCGTAATACCTTCACTCTTTACGTAACACAAGGTTAATATTCGTTACGTAAAAGAAGCCTCAATTACGTAAGGCTTCCGTAATGACAGTTATTTCTTACGTAATAGTTAAATTAGAAGCATTACGTAAGACTTCCGTAATGACTTATTACTTTACGTAACGCGAGATAAATATTCATTACCTAAAAGAACCCTTCATTACGTAAGGCTTCCGTAATGAGATTTTATAACTGTTACGGAAGATGCACATACGTTACGTAATCATTACGTAACACCTGTTGTGTTTTACGTAATACAACCTGTGAAACCTGCTATAGCAGGTAAAAAAAATCAAGTTACCTTACTTCAAGGCATTGTAGGAATTTCCTATGTAATATATATATTAGCTATAGAATATATAGCAAGAACATTTCCCAAATGAAAATTCCAGTAAACCCGCCAAGCCAAGCCAGCACGCTCGCCAATAATCTTGCGTTGGTCAGCCAGCCAGCTGATACGGCTAGTTTTTTTTTCTTTTTTTTTCCAAAGGTAAATTACGTACAGTGAGTGCTGAGGGAGAGTTTTGTCTCGTCGTGAATTAATGAAGAACTTCCATTATTGAAAAAATTGGTCACAACAAGTCGAAGCTGCAGTCAGTTTTGTCAAAGGAATTAGTACAAAGAGGAAGAGAAACTACGAGGTATGCAATAAATGGAAGAGCTAGCAAAGATGACCAAATCAAACGGAAAAATAAGAACAACACAGGAGAGGAGAGTTTATTCTTGTGGCTCCAATTCCAACTCTATTCTATTACGGGTGGCCAGCCAAGGCCCAGGAGAGTTGACATTCTACCATAATTAATGAATGCGATGGAGGGGGAAAAAAGACAAGGATTTACTCTTCAATCCAAAATCGGGCGAGTTAAACATCAGTGTCAGAGACTAATATGTGCTTGAATTGGATTGCGAGTTATTGGTTAACTCTGCGTTTGGAACGCGTTAGGATGATTACTCAAAATTGAGTAATCACCGTGGCTACTAAAATCTAGACCCTTAATTATCTATATTTTACTCTAATTTTAAATTGACGGTGAAGATTAGATTAAGGGTAATTTTGAGAATAAAAAAAATACCACACCTGATTTCTATCCTTTAAAAAATTAATTCTATATATTATACCTAAACCTACTCCAACCCTATTTTATATCTTCGTCAACACCTATCCTGCGGCCCTCCCACTGCCGGCAGCCGCCCACCCTCCGGCGACCCTCGCCCACCTTCGTCAACACCTATCCTGCGGCCCTCCCACTGCCGGCAGCCGCCCACCCTCCGGCGACCCTCGCCCACCTTTGCTCTCTCTCTCTCTCTCTCTCTCTCTCTCTCTCTCTCTCTCTCTCTCTCTCTCTCTCTCTCTCTCTCTCTCTCTCTCTCTCTCTCTCTCTCTCTCTCTCTCTCTCTCTCTCTCTCTCTCTCTGATGGCGGTGGAGGTGTTAGATGGTGATGCCGGCCTAGGCCAGCCTTCCCCCTCCCTCTCTCTCCAAACCTCCTGATCCCCTCTCTCTCTATATTTTCTCCTGCCAACCTTCCGTGCTTGTGCAAGTTGGGGATTGGTATGTATTTTTGGGGATTGGTATATTTTTTTGGTATTGCTTTGTTTTGATATTGATTTTGTCGCATTGGTATTATTTTTGTCGTAATGGTATTATTTTTATCATATTGGTATTGATTTTGTTGCAATGGTATTGATTTTGTCGCATTGGTAGTGATTAAATCTGCAATGGTATTGATGTTTTGTGAAATGGTAGTGTTTTTCTTTCTTGAATGGTATTGATGTTTTGTGAAATGGTAGTGTTTTTATTTCTTGAATGGTAGTTTTCGTGTAATGGTATAAATTTATTTATGCAATGGTAGTTTTCGTGTAATGGTATAGATTTATTTCTGCAATGGTATTGATATTTTTCAAAGTGGTAGTGTTTGTCTAATGGATTGGTACTGATTTCGTTTTTTTTTTTTTTTTGCAGAAAGATTGAGAAAAATATGGAAAGGAAATCTCGCTGGAGATTACGGAAGTGAGAGAAAGAGAGAATTTTAATTAATAGATTTTTGTAACTACCTTAAATGTAATTTATTAAAAAATTAATTAATATAATTTATTTTTCCATAC